AATAGACTTTTTACATTTCATAAGAAAGATAGGCTACACAAGCCTCGTGAAAAAGTACTTTATAATGTATAAATTACAATGTAAATCAATCGTGTAACGTGTTTCTATTTTTAGGTACGTTCCCTCCTGTTTAGTCAATGAAGGTCATAATCCCGACCATTAAAAATCCTGACAGTCAGAATTTTCAATTAGAAAATCCCGAATATGGAGTATGTTTAAAGTGAAGTAGACTCTTATAATGTAATTAACTTTAGGGTTAGGCCACTTTAGATAAGGGTTAGACTAGTGTTAGCTATGGTTTATGATATTTTTCATCAGAATTTTTAATTGTCGGGATTTTTAACTGTCAGATTTTTGGCTATCGATGACCTGTCGGGATTTCGCTTGTCAGGATTTTGACCCAAGCCCATGTAACACTTATAGACTTTACCTCTCTAAATGCAAGATTTTTTGGCCGCCTCTCAGCTATGCATTTAGAGAGGTCTGACTGTACATTGTAATTTGCTTATTCAAATTGTCATCAATAAGTTATATAAATATAATTCTGATGCGATCTCTCGCTAATTATATCAAGACTGAGGTTTGAGAAAACTTTTAGATGTGTAAAATGGTAATACTGTAGTAAATATGTGTACTGCCAAAGAAATGAGACTTCAGGCTTTCAATCTTATCATTTATTATTTGCCGGATTTATATATTCAGATTTTTTATAAGCTGAATCTGGTAAATAATAAATGATAAACTTGAAAGCCCGAGGTTTCATTTCCTTGGCAACAGCACTCATAAAATGTATTATATTTAAATTTTTCAAATTTACTTAATGAGATTTATTATGATATGTGACTAATTAAACATTCTAAAAATATATTTTAATTGCAGTCAATAGTTTAGCTCCATATGAAATAAGATAGTACTATTTTAATACTTAGAAATTCAGTTTATGAATCCAGTTTGCTTGAAAGTAATTATTATAATTGTTTAATTCTTTGCTACTAATCAAACCTGTAATTAATTTCTTTTCGAATAAAGTTACATGTAAAGATTAATTTTATGTTACACAAAGCGAGATAGCATCTATATACTTCTTTACATATATTTATAAATACATATATATCACTATGAACAAACAGACATTTACAGATAGTAATATTATTATTCACCTTTAAAATTTTAGTAAAATTTATTATAGCATTTGAGCTTTTATATAAAATGCCATAACAACATACAACCCATTGAGATTGCTAATGAAATGCAGAATAATACTGCAAATGGTGTATTAGAATCTTCTACTTTCCTCAAAACATCAGATAGAGGGGTACTTGCAATATTAAAATGAAATTAAACCTTTACATTTCCTTAATATGAAAATATTGAGGTTTATAAGCATGATTAGAATTTGATTTTTGGTCAAAATATAATAACCGATTCTCATAACTGAGAATTTCAAATATTGCTGACTTCCTATTTATGCCTTTGCCACCATCTTTCATTGTTTTCCTGAAAAAAAATAGATACTTGGTCATGGTTTTTTTTTTCAACAGCCATGCATGAAAATGCTGCCAAACTAAAGCGTTTATATTGTTCCATAAATTCTGGTAAATGATGAACTAGGATATGTATGTATGGCATAACATCTTTGGGGTGATAAAGCTCTTTTCTAAAAGATATAGTATTTGGTTCACCTTGATGAGATGTAAGGAATAGGTTGAACCATTTTTTTGTCTAGATAGCGAAGAGAGTTGAATCGGTTTTTTGATCATTTATAAGCTTGTAAAGTGAATAGAAGTCTCTCCACAAACGGGTAATTAAGATAGCTCTTTCTTCACTAAAAATAACTTCAAAATTAAAATTACACAAAACCTTTTCTTTGTCACCCCCATTAGGGGAGTGTAAGACCAATTTTGCATACTATTATCTTGCCAAAATTGAAAGCCGACCGAAATTCTTTGCATTTCTGTGCTTATAATTGCTCTAATATCATTATTGAACCTATTTTCAGACTTTAATTCTTGAATCACCAACTCCCAAAGCCTATCATAAATTCTTAACATTACATGAAGTTCATCTGGCACATAGCAATTTAATGGTATCATCGGAAGAAGAGGAGGTTTAATATATCCGGATGGTGGTAAATTTAAAGTTGAAGTTTGGTTATTAAAAAATTCTTTCTTAAGTTGATCCATATCTTTCTCAATCCTGTATATTTTGTCTTTGTTTCTAATATTATTTTTTGTATATAGACACCATGGACAAAAATATTTGGCGTTGGGCGCATTAAACCCTAATATAGCGGCCATAAACTTCTAGTCGCTGCTAAAATATAAATTGACTTTCCATTTGATTCCATCAGAATCTTCTAACCCATTGACCGTTAAACTATGTAGTTCGCTAATTAGTGGTCCCATTACTTGTTGCAACATCTCGTAGCTTTCACCTCCTGGATATAGAATTACAGTATTATGTGAGTCTGCTTTATGAACATTGGAAATATCATCCAAAATAGTGAACGTCAACATCACGTGCTTTATCTTCCTTCCTACATTACGCCCGTCTCCTGATATAGAAAACTGATTTAAAATAACATTTATTTAAACTAGGAGATAGTCTAAAGCCAGGTAGTTTTTAAATAATCAATTTGTAAATTAAAAGTTACATAGTATATAGAAAATACTACAAGGCTTTAGACGACCTCAACCTCTAAAGGAGGTAATGATTAAAATCAGAATATGTAGTTAAATCTGAATTTAATATACTGTATTCAGATCATAATTATTACCTAAATGCATATAAAAAAATTTGCCATCCCACCTGATAAGCGAACATGAATTACTGAATTATTTATATTAAGAATCTTTCGTTTAATAAAACCTGGAATTATAAAGAGTAAAATTTCTATAATTCGTCTATATCCAGCTTTTCCAATATATTGTAACATCTCATTTTCAATATCTGGATTATTAATATGAGGTATCTGATTAGTTGTCATAAGAGATACATCCTTAATATTTAAAATAATAATAGAAATTTTTTCGTTCATTTTCTTATTTAATTTTTTTCTTGCATCTGAAATATTATGATCCCGTGGTAATTCTGGTTGGAGTGCGGCTAAATTTCGATAAGCGTTCTGAGAAATCGAACCTTGATCAACAGCTTTCACAAATGCATCCAAAAAGTCATTTTCTTTATTATGATAATTGGTCAAGTAATCCTTATCTTGAACATGGAATCGAACTTGTTGTAAAACTGGTTTATCATTTGAATTAAAAAAGTTGGAAACCTCATTTTTAAAGACTTCATCTAATTGAATAGAGAATGCACGAGAATGTTTCATTTTCATAGATTCACTCAGTGCATTAAATGGTCTAAAAGAAGATCTATTTTTCCTTTCACATTCTCATTCTATATCTGGAACATTAAGACAAAATACATGTATACTGGAAATTTTTGCGTTTGCATTATTTGGATTTTTTTTCTAACAAAAATAAAAAAATTAAAATATATATTTATAATAAAAATTTTAATTAAAATTACAGTTAGACCTTACTAAATGCATAGTTTATGAAAGATCTCTCTAATTGCATAGCCTTATTTGGCCCCAACTCATATAACACTTAAAGATTTTGCCTCCCTAAATACAATACCTCTCTAAATGCAAAATTTTTTGGCTGCCCTTCGATTATGCATTTAGAAAGGTCTGACTGTATTAAAATTAAACGAACCTGTATATAATTATTGGCAGTGGCACTTGGAGATTCTTTAGATTCTATAACATATTTTTGTGAACCTTCTTGAAATATAATTCTAAAGATCGGTCCATTTAACTCATATTTAATTTCACATTCTATCATATGCTTTGATCGACCTCTTCCCCAACTGGTTTGAACTAAAAAGTTATTTGGAATTTTGTATTGAATCCCAGTAGAAGAACACGCAGAGATATAGTGTAGTTCATTTTTTGGTGGATAAACTCCTTCATTAATAATGTAATACTTGTAAATAGTATTATTTTGTTTAAATGTAAAAGGGTTACTCTTTGGATATTTCTTTTGATCAAGAAGAGACATCATAGTAGCATGCACCAATTTTTCTTAATAAAAGTAAAAAATTTTTTTTTTAATTTGCACTTATCGTTATGTATAAAACACGGATCAGGTGATACAAAAAAGTTAAAGTTATATTAGGTTAAAGTTTTAAAAGTTAAAGTTATATTAGGTTAAGGTTTAAGGTTTGTGTAGGCTAGTTTAAATTACAACTGGTTGTTTAACCAGTTGGCACATCTAAGGTATACAACAGGTTAATTGACAAAAAGAAAATTTTCAAATTTTTATAATCATATGCTTTTTTTTTTTAATACATATTTATGACGATGGCAATAGATAATCAATCAACTAAAATCTAGTTTTAGATTTTTAATGATTGGTAAAAAAAAAAAGAAAAGTACCATAATCAAATATTAATGGAGAGATTTTTATTCACTTTACAAGCTCATGAACAATCAAGAAACCGATTCAACTTTTTCCGTTACCCAGGCAAAAAATGGTTTAATTTAATTCGATTTCATGCTCAAGATAAGGATTACTTGGCCAATTATCGTAATAAAGAAAAGCTATTGATCAAGGTCCGAGTTCTCAGAACTCTTACTGAAATTTAGCTGCACTTCAACCTGAAAGACCACAAGATCACAATATTTCAAGTGCAAGAAAAAAAAAAAAAAAAATGAACCAATAAATTCTTATTATTTTAAATACTAAGGATGTATTTCTAATCAAAGTGAACCAAACGTATTATCTTTCATAAAGTGCCATTATCACACAAGGATGTTAGCCCATATAATAATCATAATAGGTAAGCTTTTTTCAAAGTCTTTTTAGATCACATTTTTCATATTCACTAATATGAGGTATGATTTTTGTCTTTAAGTGATCACCATATACTGTTTCTCATGAGTGGACCACGTTACAGATTATGTCAGAGTACCGTCGTGCTCCTATCATGTTAACTTTCTCTTGTTTTTTGAAGTTATTTAATATAATATTAATTATACAGTAAGACCCCTCTAAATGCATGCCCTATGAAAAGTTCCCTAATTGCATGACTTACTTGGGCTAACTAATATAGTTATAGATTTTTACCCCCCTAAATGCATTACCTCTCTAAATCACGTTTTACCAAATTTTTACTGATAGAAGTCTGACTGTATATATGAAAATCAAGATTCAAATCATATGATTTACGTTTGGAATTCTTTTTTTTTTTTTTTATAGCAGATTTCATACATCAAAGTATTTTTTATTATTCTTGTATTTATTTACAAATTTATCAAAATGCATACTCATTTCTTTGAATTTAAATATGTTACTGTAATATATTACTTTATGAAAGCTAATGCAGAAGATTTACCAGTTCAGGTATTTCCATATCTTTTAATTAGTACGCACATTTATTCGATTTGCGTTACGTGTTTAATATTTCTTTGCAATAGTGGAATTGGAGAGAAGTCCGGATCAGTAGATCTCTTTTGATTTGGAGCAGTAAAATCAGGAAAGTGGCAAGAGGTGTGATACTTTATTGATTTACTGTTGTGTTCTGAAATTATTCATTTTTCTTTAGCTCACATAATGGTTTGATAGAAGTTAGAAAGGACAGGCGCAAGCAATTTATTTATCAAACCTCTGCAGATATGGGAGATCCTGATAGAACGTTTCAAGTTAACGCTTACTACAGAGATAGATTTAAGGTTGAAAAGGATGAAAGTAAAACATTCAATTATTTTTAAACGTCTGTTGTGATTGGTTACATTCTTATAGCGAATATGGTTGAAAAAAATGTAACCAGAACTGAAAATGATAAACATAAGGCGTTTATTTGTTTTCAAAAATCTGAGATAAAATTCGGTAAAGAACAATTGAAGGTGGTTATTGTAATAAAAATAGAATTGGAATTAAAGAAGATTATTTTTTTATGAATTATTTAGGAAGTCGACAATTCCATTTGTCACACCTCTTTTTAAGATTACTTTCATAGAATACTTATAACTGGTAGGTATATCATTTTTTTATTGTAGAATTGTTAGGATGTTTAGATCAATTACTAATAATATCTATTACCATTACGTCTGGTTGTAAGCTAGGCCAATTTACACGTTTTACAAATCATACCTTTATTATGTATATGTGGCCTTTTATTTTTTTAAAATAAAGTACATTATTATAATAAATAAAATAGATCTATGGTACCGAGCTAATTACACTATTTACCTTAATATGTATTATATTTGATGACTTAAAAATAAATACAGTATAACCTTGATATAATGAAGCTATTGGGCTGGATGTTTTTAATGGTTTGTTATATTAATGTTGCTTTAGAAATAAGAATTAGGAATGACTTTCATTATGCAATTAGCATTCATTATATTGAGGTTATACTGTAACTTATACTGAGATACTCAGATACTCTGTATCATGCTTTATAGTAACATTTTCTGATGATAAACTAAAAACCTCTATAACTCTATTTATTTAATTTAATTTGAACAGGAAAATTCAATTATCTTATATATTTATCATCTATAAATATGATAACTAATGTTTCTTTAATATTAGAGTAATAATCTCAGATAATATACAAGTATCTTTAATGATCTCAAGCGAATAAAGTGAAACCTATTTGTTGCTTTAAAAATATATATATATCAATTATAATAACTATATGAGTTTCTATTAAGTTCATAAACAATACTAAATTCAACTTATATCTACCTAAAATTATTTTATCATTTGAGTGCTGCCAAGGGAAAATGTCCCTTCGGACTTTCAATTACATTTTAACCGAACACATTCTATTTAATTTATTAAGGTTTGTGTCTGGTCAAAATGCAATTAAAAGTCCGAAGAGACATTTTCCCTTGGCAGCACTCATTTAATCACCTTGCTAAACCAAATCTTTCTTCGCCAGCCTTTTGAATATTATTCAGGCTATCAAAAGAAATCTACTTGACATTTATTTTTATTGCCCATTTCTATATTGTTTTTTAAGGATCTCATGTTTAATACCAAGTTGGCAACATGTTGTTAGCTGTAATTTAATAATAAAATTAATTAAGGTAGAATGTAGAATCTAGCAATCGTAATGTCTATTATAAAGGTTAAAGAAGATAAAGTTAATATTAGATATTTGCTAATCCATGTATATGATTGGATATCAACTAGCTAACGCACCTTGCATTTGTGTAACAAAATTTTTGGGTGTGTCAATGATCTGCATCCAATTTCGCAAATCCGCGCATATGAATTATACATAGTATCTATACTCTAAATTTGGGTCTTTTTTCAAAAATTTCTATTCTAATATAATACTTATACTTGGACTTAGTTACAGAGCTCTGCATTCAATTATAAACCCAAAGATTACAAAAGCAAATTAAATAATTTGTCTTCAGCTTACTTGAACTGTTAATCTTGTCTGTAGAAGTTTGAAAGCTTAACTGCTAAGCTATGAGACCCAAACCCATCATTTGTAAAAAATAAAATTTTTTATTTTTTATTTGTTTTTTAATAAGTATTATTTTAAAATTTTTTAGTATCATTTGTATATTTTTTCTAATATTTATTTTTTGCAAATTTTTATATAAAAAATTTGTAAAAGAATTGTTAACAAGTAAAACTACCAAAGTAAAAATAATAATGTTTATATTTAAAACTATATTAAAATACTGTAAATAAATTACTTCACCTTTAAATATTAAACAATAAATAAATAAATTACTATATTCAATGCTTTACTATGATCAGTCTATAAAATAAATCAATTATTTTATAATACTTTTTTATATGATAAAATTATTGATCTTATTTCATGTAAATCAGTGTTGTAAATTTGCCTTCTAGTGGGAAATTTCTTGCCTTCCAGTGGCAAAAAATCATTCCAGTCACTATTTAATTCCTTCCAGTGAGCTTCCAGTGGGCTTCCAGTGGCAACACTGATGTAAATCATTAAATAAAACCGTTATTGCGTGTTCCCGTATGCATCAACTGCTGTATTTTATATTCTCTTCTTATCGTTCGGTAACCCAACCGATACGGCTGGGTTACCAACCAATCATCATCGCCCATAAAATACAGCATCATGCAATAACGATAACTATATATATAGTATTTTTTAGCTAACAATTAGTATTATTACAGTATTAATCAAAATATATACAAATTATATATAATATATTAATCTTTTATTTTGCATTTTAATTGATTAATTATTTATTGGATTAAATATTTATTAAATTATTTGATAAATAATTTTTAAATTCGAATATTCAATGAATATTTGAATATACTATTCATCTTCTTTAACCTTTATAATAGACATTACGATTGCTAGATTCTACATTCTACCTTAATTAATTTTATTATTAA